GATGATTTATTGGGAAAAAATTGAGTATATTGGTTACATTTTACATTGGTTTTGAAAAATATCCATCTAAATTACTTACACTGATTGATCATTTAGTAGTGGACTGATAGTTTGTTAATCTTACCCTTAGTGCTGATTAGATTTTACCTACCAAGTTGCAGTGTAGCGGCTAATTTGAGTGACTCGATATTGTGTACACTATACTTTGATGTTGGTTGGTTGTAAACAGTTGGCAGGAGACTTTATTTGATCTTGATTTCGTACTAGTTTGCGTTTGCGTCAACATGACTTGTTTAGTAGATGAAAAGTGATTAGTACCAAGCAGTGGGAAAACTCGAGATTGTCAACTACTCAGTTATTAATGGGTGAAATTAATTTACTCCTACAGAAGGCCAGTCGTAGCTCAAATACCTCAGTAGTAACAACCCAGACTATGAAATCAAGTCATACAATCTCAAATTTCAAAGGGAATGTGAATTCTTTCAAAATTGCAGATATGCATTTTTCTGGAATGTTATTTGACACAATAACTACGTTGATGATTTACTGCCGACTATATTAATTTACCTAACGTCGTGGTTGCTGGAAGTCATGAAGAACAACAACAGAACATCATTTGTGATGTTATGACAGTATCTTATAGACCTTAGACAGCTAATTTACAACAGCCTCGTCACTTCTTTTACACGTCTTTGAATTGCATTGTCTGTGTAAACAGTTTTGTTTATACACACATTTAAATAAAAACGAATCAATGATGTATTTTTACTGTTCATTTTGTAATGAATTAATTATTTTTAGGATGTGTATTAACTCATCCTAACTACAATTCATTCAGACAGTGAGTGTTATTTGTTTCTATTGAATATTTATAAATTGTTTACATTTATTTTATTAAAACAAACAAAAATAACTTGAAGTGAAATTTAACAAATACATCAGTAAATTATTGAACATTATTTATGCATTCATTGTATATAATTAGATCATAAAATGTAGAAAATATAGAGGAAAGAGGTAAACAAAACTTAACAATATAAAATCTAATCAATATAGTTAGAAAAATATTTTTGTGAATAATGTATATTTTTTTCAGTTCAGCTATTTCACTGAGGGGGGGGGATATATTTTCAAGATTCGATCATTTTTCAAAAGAATTAATTTTATATTACATGTTTGTAGGGTATAACTTTTGTTGTAGCCTTATGATGGGTACTGCCGATCCTAAGCCCAATTAGAGCAAGGTTGGGCGTGGGGTTAGAAACCCCACTCCTTAAAAATAACTCTCCAGAAAAATTTTCTCTGCGGGTAGAAGGGTTCTCACATAGAAGAGTTATGACGCTTGATTGTGAAAGCCGAGATTATTTGGAAGTCACAAGGAACGAGCTTAGAGTAGTCTCGACAAATTTTCAGCTAACTCTCATCCAGCCACAAAACAACTTTTGTAAATGGATAATTTTTAAAAAAATAAAACAATCATATATTAAAATCGTAAACAGATTTTACATAATTAATGAATCTATTTAACTCTTCAACAGGTTACTGTACCTATCCACTGAAACAAATGCAGAGGTTAGGTGTTTGCGTACAAGAACGAAGGTTCTGGGTTTAAATTAAGTAGCAGGAGCCTTGAATGAGCACTGCTGATGAGTATCATACCGGGACGAAACGGCCACCCAGTGCTTCCAAGTATCTAATGGTGGTCTAAAAATGATTAATTCATGATTTCAATGTCAAACAACGATCTCCACAATACTTTAACATTATTATTTTTTCTCACTGCCGGCTAAAACTGCATTTTCGTGTATGCAAAGACTATTTGGCTGTTGTTACGCTCGTCTCTAGGTATGCTTAAACTATTACTAGTTCACTTCAGTCGAATAACGAGCACAAAAAATTGAACCAGCGTCTAGGTAGGCTACTGTGATCCCTTGACCAAATAGTATCAGCACAAAGTCTTGATATAATTTAGAAATTGTATTCTACAAACACTCAGCCAGCACACAATGAATCCAAGCACTCAAATTGTGTTTATTTATACTTTATAGAGACGTCCTTGGGACGGTCACAAAAATAGCACACTTAAATGACACAGTAACAAATCACAGCCAAAGATTTTCCCGGTGGGAAATGTAATCTCAAGGTCAACTGATCGGTCCATGAAATAAATCCAAAATAAATGTATTTATCAAGCGCGAGTTCTGGGGATGTAACATCCACAACTGCTGTCCTGTATGCATGATATTTGAATTTTATGCAATAGCCAAAATGGCTACATTCTCCAATCTGATTGGCTCGTTCTTCTTATACTATTGCCACAATTACTTTCAAGTAAGTCACATTTTGCGAATTAACAACTGGTTAATGATGTCTAAATGAGCAACTATGACAGATTGAATTAAACAATCCAAAAGGGGATACGATGTATGTCCATGAATTTATAGAGCATTTGCGGTTCAGTGTTCGATATGCGTGCAACCTCTATCGTTTTTCTGTTCATTCAGTGGATTACATTTCAAACTCTAAATCTCATTTTTTTTTCCACCCGGCAGGTTGATGGCACATGTAGATAGCTTTGAACAACTAAAATGAAATCCATAGTGGAAACTAAAGTTTTTTATGCTACTGACATATTAAATGAACAAGAAAAATTCTCTAAAATCTTAATTATCACATTTTGATTGACATTGAACGAAGAATGGTAATCTTCGCGTACAACAGAAGGAGAATGTGTGCAAACCGAAGCATTGATTAAAAGGGAAATTTTAACGTGAAATGCTAATAATTAAAAATTTCGAAAATTTTGAAAGTGATTTAGATCTGGTGTAGAAGAAGGTATTTTAGCTTTCAGGAAAAAAAAATAACTGAACTTGGAATATCTTATTTAGTATAAAACAATAATAATAATAATAATAGTTTTGTATGTTTAACTGCAATGTCTGATGAAATTATTGAAAACAGTTGTTCAATATAATAAAATGTTTTTTGTGTTCTAACAAAAATAATTGAACATTGAAATAACCCCACTAACTAAAATTTTTATTTTACAAGAGATTAATTGACAGTCTATATTTTTCTAAAGTAAAGAAGATTAAAACTGAATTTATTGCACAAACTAAAATTAATGATTCAATATGAAAATAGCTTATCATATAGTAAAACTGATATTTTGAAGTAGCCAGTGGTGTTCAAGTAAGTCGAGAATGAATTAGTTGTTTCTAGTTTGATAACTGTCATATTAGAGTGTGTATCGGTTGAAGTTGAACTAATGTACCAATGAATACTTATTCAATTATGTAATTGCTAAGTGGAATTCCGGAAGACTTTGGGTTCGATCCCTCGTGCATGTGTAGCATCAAACCATTCATTTATTGTACTTCAATGACTTGTCATTTAAATTATTCGATAATTGTTTCGATCATAATTTTGTATTTGTAATAATTCGATTGCAGTATCGATTATTGTATATTTGATTGTGTGTTGTGGATGCTTACTGGCTTATCCCATGTCTAGCTTATTATTGCCTGACTGACTATAAATACTTAGTCATTCTTCAGCACACGGAGAGTTCGCTCACTTGCCTTCTCCAATTCGCTTCGTTTTGCTTGTACGCTCTACATTCTCATGTCTGTCTGCATAAATGATTGCATGAAATACATTCATCCGCGAAACCGTATTTGGCTTTTTACTATTGCCGTCGCACGAACGGACTTTGTCGAAGTATGAAATAAGGAAAAGCACAGGAAGATTCATTTCATTGCACACTCGATCATTCGTCCACACTGAAATCAAGTCGTGAGCTGGTAAACATGCATACTACTGTAGAGCTCTATACCCGTACTAGACAGCTAGCTCCTTACTTTTCAATAGTACTTACTCCCAATGAAGCCAAATCATGACAAATATAATCTATCATAAATAAACTTTTTTGAATTTCTAAGATAATTTAGAAACATTTTATTTTTACAGATGTAATTAGAAAAACACTGATTTCTTAATTTTAATCTCTCTTAATATATTTAATTCATGCTACATCTTGCCTATTCAATAAACTAATTTAACTATTCACACACAAAAAAAAAATAGAATTGAACTTCCATATGGTACAGCATTTAACATTTGTATTGAAAATTTTTTTTTAAAAATTTTAATCGTTTCAAAGTCTTTGGATTTACATTGTTATTTAATATCAATGATTAAGTAAGTAAGTAAGTAAGTAAGTAAGATAGTGTTGTAAATTGAATTCAACAAAATCAAATCTAATGATTTTACATAAATATTAACAGCTGTTGATAATTAGAATTTTATTCATTATTATTATTATTTTTATTATCATTATCGGTAGTTCATTTTTTAACTTTAAATTTATAAATATAAATGGATAAGAAAACGAATTATCTAAACTTGTAGCAGCATCATTGAAGCTATAATGTTGTGTTAGTTTCTACTGTCTCCAATTACCCTAGTTCAGTCAAGTGGAGGAGTACAATCCGCTCTCGTTTTCGAAATAGCCATGAGGTATATAGCGACTGTCAAGGAGGTCCTACTCACTGTCTTCTCGTGCTGCAAGGGTGTTGTTTACGAGATTGAGAGGACGAAAGAAGAATGTCTGGGGTTTTAGGCGGGTAATGGATATGGGGGATCCATCTGAGGAAGATGGAAAACGCTAGTTACATGCCGATGGGTCATTTGGGATTCAGTATCTTGATAGAATTAATATCATATGAACGTATCATTGATCAATGTTCTCTTGTTCCTTTCTTTTCCATATAGCTCCTCATATTTTCTTAACATATATAATACCTTCAAACCTATCTCAAATTCTAAACATTACATTCTAGCTTATTATTATACTAATCATGTATGTTATCATAGAATAAAACTGATTGTTTATTATTCTATTTTTTTTTTTAATAATTATTATTATATTTTAGCCAGATATAAAAAAAAATCTTATCATTTGTTGATAAACATCATTTTAAACAATATAAATTACTTACTGTCGTTTATGTAAGAAAAAACCAGCAATTTGTAATGCAATTACTCCAACTATTAAAATAATCACACCTAACCATAATAGAATACATGTTAATTTTTTATTCATTAACCATTGAAAATCTTGCAATTTCATTTCATCTGAATGTGTACCAATTGATTCTCTTGGTATATTCGATAATTGATAAGTATTATTCGATGTTGGCAATATATCAGTATTGAATTTTTCCACTAAATCTTTTGTTCCTAAATGAAATTTATAAAAATATGGACAATTTCCATAATTTTTAATAGTATGCGGTGGTTGTAATTGAATTTCTGGAATATATTTCTTTAATTGTGAACAAAATGTACGTAAACATTCACAAAATGTACTTGTAGACATGATTAGATTGAATTAGTCTAATTGTTTGTTTATGCAAATGGAAACTTTAAATAAAAAAATTTAATTTGAATTATTTTGCCCAAATATGTTTAACAGAAATATATATATATTATTGTTTTGTACTTCAATTTCACAGGAATAATATTTTAGAGTTCATTCGATAGATTGTTTTACTAGTATTCGTTCAAACTATTGTGTACTATTGAAATGTACAGAAGAAGAAATATGTCAACTGTTTAATGTATAAATATTTTCATTGAATTAAGAGATAAATAAATAATCTTTAAAATGAACAAGAGTTGTGTTATTTTTTTTATATTAAAACAACAATTTCTTCTTAATTTAACACGCAATCAATGCATAGAATGGCACAGTAAAAATACGATTGGTAAGTTGTTAGTTGATTCGAAATTAATTCATAACCAATCAAATTTATTTTGCACAATTCAAAAAGGAAGTTTAGACAAAATAAACTGATCTTGTTGGTAGTGTATAGTAGTTATATGACATGTCTAAAATCGAGAAAAATTAAATCAAATCTTGTAAAATCGTATTATGATAAAACATTGTGACATTGGTAAACCAACATTGTGAGTGTTAAGTGTTGGTGTAAAATTAAGAAAAGTCACTTCAGTTAATGGTCAATATATCTCGATAGAAGATATGTTTATTTAGAAATCTAGTTCCTTTGGATTAATAATAAAATACTTTTTGGCATCATCATATACAGTGGTGATGATAGACATGACATAAAAGTAGATTTACAAAAAAAAATGCTTACTATTTGATTGTTTCTAACATAAAATATGAAATATAGATATACTTTTGAGCAGTGTTCAAATTGTTGACAATTATTAGGTAAATTTCTTATTATGATCGTATAATATCAATAATGACCATGTCATTTGCTTGAAATATTCATTCTTTTTAAGCATACCAATAATATTATCACAATGTAAATCAATTAATTTTCATTTCAGTCTACTTTATTTATCATTAAAATCGAAACTAAATCATCATATTGATGTATTTAACTGAATAATAATTGAATTGGTGAATCGGGAATGTTAACAGAATTAAAGACTTTTAATGCATAATTTCTTCACATCATTTGTTACCTTATTAATTTCATTTCAATAACTCTTAAAAAATTGATTGATACTGGTTTTTTTTTTCTACGTGAATTGCTCTTTTTTCTGATTATCGTTTTTTAGCGAAGTAGTTATCTACGGGATGGAGTTGTTAATCTCATGTCAAATCTCCTCCTTTGCCCGGGCTTGGGACCGGTAGTAGCTTCAGAGGAGGCTTCAGGCAGAGGAGTAGGTTAGGAATAAGAGCTGGCGTGGATAGGGCACATATTGAAGAAAACACCCAAGCACCTCACAGTATAAACTCTCACTTACAGTCCTGAAGGCAAAAGGAAAAGAGGAAGACCAAAGAACACATTTTTACCGAGAAATGGGAACATATATGAGAAGTATGAACAACAATTGGTTAGATAGAACTAGAGAAGGAAGGCCCGGGACAGAGTAGATTTAAAAATGTTGGTCAGCGGCCTATGCTCCATTGGACGTGTTAAGATAGGAAAACTGATTATAAAACTTAGAAAATCAATCAATTTACTAAAATCCTCTAAACAATAACAACAAATCTGTTGTGGAATACTTTTGAGCTGATATCGATTCTCTATATGAATCGGTTAAATTATGATTTTGAAGATGATACAACTAGTTTAGGAATTAGTTAATTTAATTCCGACTATATACAAAATCTGATTTATGCAATTTTTTTGCATTCATTACAAATGAAAAACTTAACGAAACTTCTATTTTTGTTGTCACAATGTTATAGTATGAACATTCTTGTATTCAGAAAAAAAAAATCAAAATTTTCATTTTATTTTTTCCCAAATTGTTGTCTTTGAATAAGAGAATTGAAGAGACTGCAAAATAGGTTATATTTGATTGTGTTTACTTTAAACACAATCAAATATAGAACAGAAAAAAAAATAAATTGGTATTAGTGAAATTCAGATCACTCATCTTATCCCACCCATATAGGACTCGTCAACTGAATGTACTTCTACCTTAGATTATTTTAACCAAGTTAATAGGCCATATTTTTTATGAATGAATTTTCACAGTGAAAAAACATCCATTATGTTATGGTGGTTTGCTTCCAGCCATAAGGTATTTAGTATACTTGGGGAGAGCATGTAAAGTAGTCTGAGTGAAGAAGTCTGATATACAGAATAACAAATGAAAGGGTGAACTAGTGAACTAGTAAAGAAAGAAGTCTACAATTCTAACACAAACCTCAGATTAAAACGACCTGAAAAACGAAACTAGTAATGGATAGTTAAACTCTCTACAGTACACATAATCGAGTTTCATTATATTTAAATAACAGAGATTTGACTTAAAGGATTTATTTGCTGGGAAACTAGTAAATAATATATATATAATATAAGTAAAATGATTTTTTATGGACCCCTATAGTTGACAATAGTGTTTTTAGCTACACTATTATTACTTCCAATTTTCTGCTTCACTTCTAATTTTGAACTGAACATTTGTTAGGAAAAGAAGCATGTTTAGATATTATTAGGCAGTTAAAGATAGTTGACAGGATATATAACTTAGTCTAACTTTCATCCCAGTTGACCCTTGTCATGTGAGTATACATATAACCTTGAAAAGTTTAATAATTCACGTAAGATTCGAACCCGTGATAACCATATTTTCACAACCTCAAGTGTTAAGCCGTTGTGGCCACAATTGACTCCATATAGGATCAAATTACTTACGAGTAATTGATCACTGAAGAGTATCTCGTTGCGTCCCTAATAGTCGGACTGTAACTTTTGAGACTCTGAAACGGAATCATTCTGGTTCAAAGCTCAAAGGAAACATCGGTTATTACGTACACTCAATAAACAAATTTCAACTAACGTGGAATCTAAGTCGAGTAGGGTTTTCTATAGACTACTTCCGACAACCTAACTTCAAAATATAACGCTCCCAATGTTAAGTTGCTATGTAATTAATTGTAAGAAAGATGTTTTTCTTTGAAATACATTTTTTCCAGAAAAATTACATCTTCTGAAGAAGACTTTGAAATAGATAAACTGTAAATACATGTATATTTTTTAATCTGAGATTTTTTTGGAGGTGTATAAAAGTGCTCACAAAGTTTAACGCTGATAAATTCTAAATTCAAATAAAATAGTTTTAGAGTATGACATACTCTTCTGTAACTGCTAGATCTTCATATTACACATTTTTTATATAGTAACTTAAATCAGTATAAATCCCCTGAAGTCCTTATGAGAAATGAGGACTTTGTCGAGACGAAAATTGAGCATACAAACGTCTGTTAGTGTCTAACTAGGAAACTGAGGCGTGCGTTTCGTCCTGTCTATCATATCCGTTACATAGGCAAGTGTCTATCTGAAATCAGTAGGTAACCAGTTCGGTGTATGAAGTGAAAGGTACAGGTTTTGAACCTCATATTGAATTTCAGGACCGGAGTGGAGTTAAATCTGGCTGATGAGTACTTAATCCGATGAAACATGTATCCTGAATTTCACTACTGGCCAGTAAGTAACATTACTAAAAACATGTAACAAATCGCCAATACCTTAATTGTCTGCTTTGGATGACCATATAGCAGTTAGCATTGGCCAGCTTTACCAATAATAATAATAATAAAAAATGCAAACTGTTTCTATCAAATCCCTACTAACGAGTTTAAATCATTGCTGTCTTCTGTTAAACTTCATTTTGCAATACCATATTAAATTTTAAGTCAATATATTACAGATGAATAGAAAATTAGAATAGAAATACTCTCTAGTGTTGAAAAAAATTACATTTTCAGATTATAATGTAAATTATTCCATTGCATTTACATGTTTATGCATTTTTATTTTTAACTTATTATATAAATTCTAATTTATTATTTCAATGTTTATTGAACACATGCTTTATAGTTAGTTAATGGTCAATAAAATCTAAGATGTTGAATATTTAGTTAAAGTTATTTACTTACACCTGTTACTACTACTAATGGAGCATAGGCCACCCACCAACATTTTTCTGGTTATCGATTTTTAGCGAGTTGATTTTCTATGGTATGAAGTCGTTAACCCTATACCCAACTATCCTCCTTTACCCAGTCTTGGGACCGACAATAAACCTAGAAGGGCTCCAGGAGGAGTTATTTAGTTAGAGTAATCAATGAAAACTGGATTCTATCTTTTTATTATAGGGTTCGCTTGTTTGAATGTTTCGTTGTTAATGTGTTTCACACAATTCTTCCTAAATGTAAATAAGGAGAACATAAAAACAAGATTTATGCGTATATCATAAATAACCGAAACAATAAAAAGTTCAGTAGCAATAAAAAAAATCACAATGGTTCGTATAAACTCGTATTCTCTTAGTTCACCCATGGGTACTGATTAGTCGAAAATGGACCAGTCAACGCGTTACCATCTATGATTCGATTAAGCATACCAGATTCAATCCTTTTAAGTATGAACAATTTGTTTAAAACACGATGAAAGCTCTAGTCAAAAATACCATCATTGATTTATTGATTGCTACATCAATTGATTATGAATTAGAAAAAGGTTACATATTATAAAACTATTAAAAATAATCGCATGTCGCATGTCAATTTATTACAAAATATCTTATATCTTGAATAAGCATCACATTTTGAAATAAATCATTGTTAAATTAAATAGAATATTCTACACTTAAAACAAAACACTGATTAATCATCATACCGAACTGAAACTGAAGTTATGTTGAACAAAAATTGCTAAATAGTCAAAAAAACATAATTTTGCCTTTTTATCACATTATATCAGAGGGCGTCTTAAGAAAATATGTGAGGTTGTTTATTGGCTCCGAAGTAAAAATGTTATTTAAGTCATTTGGAGGAATATTTTTATCAAATATATAACAGAACAGCCTATAACCAGCGCAAAAAAA